CCAAGGAAGGAAACAAGGGGACGAAAGAAAAAGATTAATGATAGAACTGACAGGGTAATCAAGAGAGAAGTTGCAAAGAATAGGACTATAACTAGCCAAGAAATTGCAGCCAGTCTAAGCGAAGAGAAAGGTGTTAGTCTTGCCTCTTCAACAGCCCTTCAGTGGCTGTTAGAACAAAGCTACCAATCTTGTACACGAAGGTTTAAGCCACTAATAAGCAAAGCCAACAAAGCCAAGAGACTTGAATGGGCTCACTATTACAAAAATTTCACCGTAGAAGACTGGAAGAATGTTCTCTTCTCCAATGAAACGAAAGTTGAGCTAAATTCAAAGGATAAGATGAGTCACTTTTATCGAACAGCACTGTATCTCTGATGCTAATAATAAACCTGCTACATATATTGGTTTTACTACAACCACATTCTCCCGTAGACTTACCTGTCACCTTTCTTATCTTAGTTCTATTAACCTTTACCAAAATAATTTCTTTTTAGAATTTTTCCCCCTGACACAGCATTTTTTTTTGAGGGTGCAAAAACATTAACATCTACTGTTTTAAAATTATAACTTTCTTTGTATTGTGCATATAGATTTTAATTTTTGCACACTAATAAAAAAAACAAAAAATGAACGAGTAATATTTTTATGTAATGCATTATGTTTAGCATGCATGTTCTGACATTGAAAACTAAAAAGTGAAATACAAAATGAAAAATAAAAATACATTAACAATTTAACATCCTTTAACTTTTATTACTCCTTGTGGGGTTATGGGGTGCAATCAGAAGCAAAACGGCTAAGAAGGTTTTCATTTTGTCAAAAAAGTAACGTCCTTCCACGTGTTTGCATACAAGTAAACACCATCATTTGTTTGCCCTTTTCTTTCACCTGACTAGCATATTCACTTGTCTGGTTGACAAATAAAGTTATTATTTTGTCATTTATAAACAGACAAAATAATTCACGTTCTGAAAGGCTATCAGGTATATTCACAGTGCCAGTCATTTCTATATAATTAATCAGCCGTAGATGATAGTAGCCACTCGGTACTTAGTACTCATGAAAGCTTTCCTCCTCTTCACTAGTATAGTTATCATCTCTATCTCCAAACACTTCACTGTCAATACCCACTTGAGTAAAGCCTTCAAAATCGTCATCAGAGTCCAAATCAAAGAAAAACTCACGAATAAAGGCTTTGTTGGATAGTGAGGTGGCCATTTTTGTTTAACAAAAATTGCGACAAAATTAATGTGGGTTTAATCGATGTTACACTTTGTGTAGAATGTAGAATTCAAAATGGCATTGGAAAACAGAAGTTTAGTCTCATTCCAAAGCATTAGTAGCCTATTTCCAGCTTGAAATACCAGAAGTAATAGTTGATAAATGTTTATTTATAGCAACCATCTCAAGGTGATAGAATGCACCAACAGCTGCAAAAGGAGAAATTTCTATACCAACAATTTTCACCTCCAGATAGATAATGTTTTAAAAAAAAAAGATTTTTTCTAAACTTTCAAATCAGTAATTTTAACAGAATTTCTTGTGACAAATCTGTATTTTTTCACTATGTTTATACATTCTTTTTATAGATACAAATATTTCGGTAAAACATAAAAATGTCTTAAAATAATTGTCGGACTTTGTCCATTTCATAATGTGTGACGTCATTTGTTTATATTTGATACGCTATGAATGTACGTGAGAGATTCATGGAAGATTGAAGTTTAAAGACAGTAAATTCGATCTTGCTAACCGAATGCTCCTTCGTGTCCAAATCGGTAAAGGCACATCAAACTAAATGATGTTTCTGTATAGGATACAGGTTCAAATCCTGTCGGAGGACTAATATTTTCTGTGAAAAATTCTCGGACATTCAGGCCGGTAAATGTTGTTTAATACTGTTTATTATAAACAGAGCATTTACTTAAATATTTGTATCTATAAAAAGAATGTATAAACATAAAAATGTCTTAAAATATATATATATATATATATATATATATTAGAGAGATAGAGAGATTAAAGGTACTTATCTACCAAATTCACCCAACCAAAAGTTTCATATATGACAATATTTGATATGGAAGCACAACAGTCAGACAATTCCGAGAGACAAGATAATTATATATATGTGTAGTAGATAGGTTTGCCTATTATCCAGTTCACACTTTGATCTGCCTTCTGAACAGGTGTTGCAGTTTATCCCTTGTTTCCTGCTTAGGATTGGGTTTTGGGTTCCTTCGAAACCCTTTTCATTCTCTTTCATTTCTGCTGGCCTCTTACATCTTGGTGGCATTATTTCGCTTCAGATGGTGCCTCTTTTCTTTTCTTTCCTCAGTAGTTGTATATATTTTTGCCTATTGCCCAGTTCACACTCCTCCCCAGTCTTTTAAACAGGAGTAGACATTTATCCCTTGTTTCCTGTTTAGGATTGGGTTCTGGGTTCCTTCAAGAGTCTACTTCAACTCTATATTTCTAACGTCTCCACTTAAACTTTGAAATTCTATCTACTACTAGCAGCATGACCCGGCGTTGCCTGGGCTTGATTCAAAAATCGTACGACACATACAGCAATCGCTATCACTTGACTTAAAATATTTTTTGCCCTTCCTTGCCTTTAAAGGAGTGCCCTTTGCCGTGCTGATGTTGCTACATGCCTTACTTCTTGCCTATCTCACACTGCAAATTTTTTCTAAGCTCTATACTAAACATTAAATCTGTTACGAAAAAAGAACTAAACAAAATGAACACAAAACGATCAGATTTAAAAAAGGACTCGTAACTGGAAAAACCGAATGAAAAAAGAATGTTAACAACAAATACTTTTTCACACCCAACCCAGTTCTGCAGGATCAGAATCAACGTTGAGTTTAAGCAAGCAAATGAGATTTAAATTTTTCCCACTTGTGACGAATGCAGCTATCGATTTTTTTGGCAAGCTAGCATGCTAGTTAACATGCGTGGCAGTCAGCTGTTGGCTTTCACGCTGAACAATAGAATCTTCCTGCCTATTTGTGGCAGCCAGCTATAGGCTCTCACCCTGGCCGGTACAAAATGGCTGCAAACTACATGAAAACTGCCATAGAAGCATGAAAAATTGATTATTTCCACTATCAATGGGAGTTGGGAAATGCAAAGTCGATCTTGGCCTTCCCGCTAACTTGGAGCATGTGCATGTAAATTTTGGTGAAAATCTGTCAAAAATTGCGTCCATTCATTCATTACACACACACATCCTGCCTTTTATAGATAGAAATTTATTTGTTTTATTCAATAGGAGGAGATATGTCCACCTGCTGTCCAGTTCACATGCTTCCCTGGAATAGGCATAGAGGTTTATCCCTTTTTCCAGTTTAGGATTGGATTTCTGCTTTCTTCTAAAATCTTTTCATTCTTTCTCACTTTCAGTAACACCTTCTGTCTTAGTGGCATTATTGACTTGCCTGGGGTAAATCGATTATAAAAAATAAATAAATAAATAAATAAAAAAAGACTAGTAATGGTTTTGTTTTACAGCACATCAATCTCAATGGGTCATTTAATACTGACAACTATTTTTTTTCCTGGTAATATTTTTGTTTTGTCAAAAATCCATTTCTGTTAATATTATTTTTTCTCAAAATTTTTTTCAAAAAACATATAGATGGTAATATTATTTTTTCAAAAATGTATAGCTGGTAATATTATTTTTTTTCAAAAACATACAGCTGGCATCATTATTTTTTTCAAAAACGCATTATCAGAGGCCTTGCTGTTGAGCGTAGTTTATCATCTTACCCAGGACGCGGATGTAGTTTATCGTCATGCCCAGGACGCAGACATAGTTTGTCGTCATGCCCAGGACGCAGACATAGTTTGTCGTCATGCCCAGGGCGCAGACATAGTTTGTCGTCATGCCCAGGGCGCAGACATAGTTTGTCGTCATGCCCAGGGCGCAGACATAGTTTGTCGTCATGCCCAGGGCGCAGACATAGTTTGTCGTCATGCTCAGGGCGCAGACATAGTTTGTCGTCATGCCCAGGACGTGGACGTAGTTTATCATCATGCCCAGGACGCGGACGTAGTTAGTCGTCGTGCCCAGGACGCGGGGCGTGGTTTGTCGTTGCGGACGCCGGACGGTTTAATTTATCGTCGTGCCCAGGAGTCAGATGTAGTTTATCGTCATGCCCAGGACACTAATAATGTTTTTAAGTTCTTTGAATATTGGCAACTTAAATTTTTCCATATTCCTTGTGCAACTGTAGTTTACTTTTAAGTTTGTTTTGTTAAATACATTCCTTAGTATTGGACAACTTCTGAAATATTTATCTACTCGTTTTAGGAAGCTATCCATCTGACGTGTTTCTACGTTTCAGCTAAAATATGAATCATAAAAGATTCTTAATTTTTTGAAAAAAGTGGAAGAAATAAAATGCCTATTCTACAGAATATAAAACAAAAATATAAAATTGAAACTTGTTTCCCCTCTCATAAATGCAAACGCAGACAGAAATTGTAAACAATTTCAGAATGGGTTGGAATGTTTAACCATTTTTGGGTTATGGTTAGGGTCAGGCAGAACGAAAGCAAAAAGTGAATCACTTTGCTTTTGGGGTCTTATTTGAAAGTCTGCAGTGCTTGATTCTAAAAATGATGGAGATTCTTTGTTGGAACATTTGGGAGAAATTTGAAAATGTTATTTTTTTTTTTTTTTTTGTTTGGTATATTCTTTCTGGAATATTACGAGGAATTTTGGGGAAAAACAGGTTTATTAAATTGGGAATATTGAAAGAAAAAGAAAAAGGAAGATGGTACCAATAAGCAAAATTAGGGAAAGTGAAAAATAAAAGCATACAAAAAGAAAAGCACGAAAATGGAAGTTTAAGGGGGGTGGTTAAAGAAAGAAAATTATAAATAGAGAGAGAGAGTGAAGAAAAGTAAACAGAAAGTGAGAGGAGGGGGAATATAGCGAGATGAGAGGGAAATGGTATCCAGAGAGAGAGAGAGGAGTGCAGAAAGTGTTAGTTGGAAGCGAAGAGTGAGAAAACGGTGTACAAAGAGAGAGTGAGAAGAGGAGGAGAAAGGTATCGAGAGAGAGAGAAGGGAAAGAGAAAGAGGTATCCAGAGAGAAGGGGAAGAGAAAGAGGTATCCAGAGAGAAGGGGAAGAGAAAGAGGTATCCAGAGAGAAGGGGAAGAGAAAGAGGTATCCAGAGAGAAGGGGAAGAGAAAGAGGTATCCAGAGAGAAGGGGAAGAGAAAGAGGTCTCCAGAGAGAAGGGGAAGAGAAAGAGGTCTCCAGAGAGAAGGGGAAGAGAAAGAGGTTCCAGAGAGAGAGAGAAGGGAAGAGAAAGAGGTTCCAGAGAGAGAGAGAAAGGGAAGAGAAAGAGGTATCCAGAGAGAGAGAGAGAGAGAAAAAGGGAAGAGAAAGAGGCATCCAGAGAGAGAGAGAGAAGGGAAGAGAAAAAGAGGTATCCAGAGAGAGAGAGAGAGAGAAGGGAAGAGAAAGAGGGTATCCAGAGAGAGAGAGAGAGAAGGGAAGAGAAAGAGGCACGAGAGAGAGAGAGAAGGGAAGAGAAAAGAGGCATCCAGAGAGAGAGAGAGAGAAGGTAAGAAAAAGATGTATCCAGAGAGAGAGAATGGGAAGAGAAAGATGTATCCAGAGAGAGAGAGAGAGAAGGGGAAGAGAAAGATGTATCCAGAGAGAGAGAGAGAAGGGGAAGAGAAAGAGGCATCCAGAGAGAGAGAGAGAAGGGGAAGAGAAAGAGGTATCCAGAGAGAGAGAGAGAGAAGGGGAAGAGAAAGAGGTATCCAGAGAGAGAGAGAGAAGGGGAAGAGAAAGAGGTATCCAGAGAGAGAGAGAGAGAGAAGGGGAAGAGAAAGAGGCATCCAGAGAGAGAGAAGAGGAAGAGAAAGAGGCATCCAGAGAGAGAGAGAGAGAAGAGGAAGAGAAAGATGTATCCAGAGAGAGAGAGAGAGAGAGAGAGAAAGGGAAGAGAAATATGTATCCAGAGAGAGAGAAGGGGAAGAGAAAGAGGTATCCAGTGAGACAGAGACAGGAGAGGAAAAGAGGTATTCAGAGAGGAGAGAGTGGGAGTGATAACCAGTGAGAGGAGGGGAAAAGATGTATGCTGTGAGAGAGATAAAGAGAAAGAAAATACTGAGAGAGACAAATGTGAGAAGAAAAAGATCATTCAAGCCTTCAGTAATGGTATCCAACATTCATCCTCTGGCCTCCATCTTTAAAGTCCATTCAAGAACCATCAAGAGAAGAGTGAATAAGTTTAAAAAAAGAGGGAACAGTAGAGAGGAAAACTAGATCAGGAGGTCACAACAGGAAGAGGGAACATCATTTCAAATTAGAGCTAAAGCAATCAATTAGAAAAGATCCAACTCAATCCATAAGACATTTGGCATGTGAGAGAAGAGTTTCAGCTATGACAGTCCAAAGAGCAGTGAAAAAAGACTTGAAAATGAAATCGTATATGAAACCTGTGAGGCAACTTGTTACTCCAGGACAGAAAGATGGAAGGTTAGAGTGGACAAAGATCAACTTGAATAAGTTGAAAAATGATTCTGGAATTATATATATATATATATATATATATATATATTTATATATATAGGTAACTATACTCATCTCGAAAAACCTTCGAATTTTTAATTTTCCAATAGTCAAATCAATCTTGAAGGAAAAAAAGGTTTTAAAAAAAAAAAAGAGCCAGGAACATGAAAGTCTGTCAAAAAAATCGCACAGCTTTTCCTGACGATCTGCATAGGTGAAACCTGGGTAGGTTTGTCTGGCTCACTAGGTTTGACTATATATATATATATATATATATATAACTTCATTTCAATCCTTAATGAGCTTCCGATCCTTAGCTATGCTTAATTAATGATGAACATGTCATCTTTGTTTATGATCAATTCCATCATAATTCTTCTGATAAGCTTAGAAAGTAATTATACATTCTTATTGCTTAAAGGAGAGTCCAATGATGTTATAAAAAGCTCGGAGAATTCCAGTAAGATATCTTTAAGCATTTCTAAGATACAATGGTTCAGTACTTAATCTAACAATTTTGCTGTTACACTCGCTATAAACAAGTTACACTATTTACATCATTCAGGCTATTGTCATCATCTTTATTGCTACATTCTTGACGTTTCAGCTGTTCTAAGCTCTGGCCTTCTTCGGGTAATGTGTTGGAATTTCAAACTGAACCCTTTATTTAGTTCACAGAGATGTATTGTTCTAATTCATACTCCATGCTTTTTCGATTAAGGATTATGTGTACATCATTCTGTGCAACTGTGGCAAGAAATATAAACGAGAAACAACCGCCCCCTTAAGATAAAAATAAAAGCAAGAATTTACTCCCCCTTCACCCTATAATTCTACTATAAAATATATTGTTGGTAATCTTGCTATAAATAGGTATTGATGCTAATTTTACTAAAAATATCTATTGTTGGTATTTTTTTTATATAAAAATGTATTACTGGTATTTTTATACTTTCATAGTATTTTGTTTTTTTTGGTGGGGGGGGGCAACTATTTGCCCATAGCTGGGACCCTGTATGGGTTATTTAATGCCGAAATCTAAACATTTAGAACACGATTTTATGGCTTCAACTAAATATATTTTGAATACATCTTTATGCCTTTAACTAAAGATAAAATATATTGTTGGTAATTGTACTAAAAAATTTATGGTTGGTAATTTTGCTATAACTAGGTATAGTTGGTAATTTTACTGAAAATATATATTGTTGGTAATTTTGCTATAGCTAGGTATTGTCGGTAATTTTACTAAAAATAGGTATTGTCGGTAATTTTGCTATAAATAGGTATTGTCGATAATTTTGCTAAAAATATCTATGGATGGTAATTTTGCTAAAAATATCTATAGTTGGTAATTTTGCTATAACTAGGTATTGTTGATAATTTTAGTAAAAATATCTATTGTTGGTAATTTTACTAAAAATATCTATTGTTGGTAATTTTACTAAAAATATCTATTGTTGGTAATTTTACTAAAAATATCTATTGTTGGTAATTTTTTTAATATAAAAATGTTTTACTGGTATTTTTATCATTTCATAGCATTTTGTTTTTGTTGGGGAGTGGGGGGCACTATTTGCCCATAGCTGGGACCCTGTATGGGTGATTTTATGGCTTCAACTAAACAAATTTAAAATGTATTTTTGGTAATTTTTTTATATAAAAATGTATTGCTGATATTTTTTACTATAAAAATGTCTTTTTACACTTTCATTGTGTTTGGTTTTTGTTTGGGCATTCAGTATTTGCCAATAACTTGGACCTGAACGGGTGCTACCACCCCGGGTAAGGGTGGACCAGGAAACAACAGAAATTAAGAGGTGGTTCCATGCCATTCAAAACTTCCCGTTTCTGATAAAAGTTGCTTATTGGAGTTTACATTGTTATTTTTAGTGGGGATCTTTATGATGACCGACAGGTTCTTTTCCCTTTTTTTTCTTTTTCAGTTTTCAAAATAGATTAAAAAGGTTCTATGTAGCTTTGCTGGGAGTTTTTATAGTTTTATATTTCCTGATCAGAAGCCTTGCTGGCGGATGTAAGACGCTTTGATGCTTATTTTATTTGATAAAAAATCTGATAAAGGCAATTAAATTTTCGAAAAGATTCTTCACCTTTCTCACTATGTCGAAAATAAAGGCTCTAAGAATATTATTAAGCCTCCACATGCAGAAATAATCTACCATATCAGTAAAGAGGATTTTCAATGCCTGAGACTGAGGCAGGGTTGGGAAGTTATGACAAGAGTAAAATTTAAAATATTAAACTTAGAATCAGCCAATAATTTGACAGCTATTAAATTTCAGTTTTTGTTCTTTTTTTTCAAAAAGAGCATTTCAGTTATTTTGTTCAATTGTCTTCACATCAAAGAATTCCGCTTCTGGAAACAATGAGAAGCAAGGCAGCATTACAAGATTTCAAGAAGGTGCCAAATTTGTTAATCTAATTCTTTTTAAGTGATGCCATTCTGAAGAACGTTCATGATTCAAGGTTGGCAAATTTGAACCTATCATGTTTCATGCATCATGTCTCATCAAGGCATTGGCAATCATGACTCTCCCCAAATATTCTTAGTTTCTTTAAGATTTACCACACTGCAGGCAAAAATAGTTGCCATAGAATTCTCTCCCTTTGCTACTCTAGGCGCATTCTATCGCCTTGAGACGGTTGCTATAAACAAACACTTGTCAACTGTTATTTCCAGTATTTTAAGCTGGAAACCTACTACTGCTTTGGAACAAGTCTAAACTTCCGTTTTTCAATGCCATTTTGAATTCTACATTCTATACAAGGTGTAACATCAGCTAAACCCACATTAATTTTTTCATGATTTTTTGTAAACAAAAATGGCAACATTAATATCTAACAGAGTCTTTATTCAGGAGTTGTTCTTTGAGACAGGCTCTGGTGATTACTTAAGCCATGAAACTGATAATCTGACACTCAACATGAAGTGGCGATTTCTGTTTCTATAAGGGAGAATGGAGACCTAGAAATCAGCACTGCAGGGTGACTGTCAATTTCGCAACTCAAGTGAACTGAGGAATCTCCACAGCTCTAATTTTAGCATAAAAAAAGAAAAAGAAAGACAACACTGAAGGTGCTAAAACTGTTTTCTTCCCTGATCCTGATGATGGCCAGAGGTATGATCGAAAGGTCTAATTCCAAACATTCCTACGATATCTGAAACCTCTTTAATCTCAACATACATCCATTTGGATGTTAAGCAATGTCAAGCCTAGTCAGTACTTAGACGAGTGACCACTTGAGTTTGTGTGAAGTTGTTCCACAAAGAAGCTTTGAAAGAAAAATAATACACAAATTAGAAAAAATTATTGAAATTTGTAGCTCCATGTTTGAAGATTCACTTATCTCTTTGATTATACATGCATAAACTACTACCAGTCTAGGAGAAAGAAAATTCTAAATTCAAAACACAGACACATGAAGTTGTACGATGATGGTTAGACAAGAAAACAAAAGCACAACAGATTTAAACATCTCGATATAGCTGCTCTCGCTAAATCATCCATAGATGTAGAAATCTATGGATGATCCCATGGAGAGTGAATATCCAAAATGCTGTTTAGGCCAACTGGTTCGTTAATTTTCTTTAGTGGTATATCAACACCATTATAGGTTATTTAATGCCAAAATCTAAACATTTTGTAGGTAATTTTATGCTTTCAACTTCAAATATTTCATACGTAATTTTACATTTTCAGGGTGTTGTATAGCTGCTCTCGCTAAATCATCCATAGATGTAGAAATCTATGGATGATCCCATGGAGAGTGAATATCCAAAATGCTGTTTAGGCCAACTGGTTCATTAATTTTCTTTAGTGGTATATCAACACCTTTATGGGTTATTTAAAGCCAAAATCTAAACATTTTGTAGGTAATTTTATGCTTTCAACTTCAAATATTTCATAATGCATTTTACATTTTTCAGGGGCTTGTTGTATAGCTAATATCCAAAATGCTGTTTAGGCCAACTGGTTCGCTTAGTGGAAATAACCATCCATTGATGTAAAAAATCTATGGATGATCCCATGGAAGTGAATATCCAAAAATGCTGTTTAGGCCAACTGGTTCTTAATTTTCTTTAGTGGTATATCAACACCATTATAGGTTATTTAATGCAAAATCTAAACATTTTGTGAAATAAATTTATACTTTCAACTTCAAATATTTCATACGTAATTTTACATTTTTCAAGGGTGTTGTATAGCTGCTCAGCTAAACCATCCATAGATGTAGAAATCTATGAATGATCCCATGGAGAGTGAATATCAAAAAAATGCTGTTTAGGCCAACTGGTTCAAAGTTTTCTTTAGTGGTATATCAACACCATTATAGGTTATTTAATGCCAAAAATCTAAAACATTTTGTAGGTAATTTTTTTGCTTTCAACTTCAAATATTTCATACGTAATTTTACATTTTCAGGGTGTTGTATAGCTGCTCTCGCTAAACCATCCATAGATGTAGAAATCTATGAATGATCTCATGGAGAGTGAATAACCAAAATGCTGTTTAGGCCAACTGTTCGTTAATTTTCTTTTTAGTATCCAAAACCATTTTTAGGTTATTTAGTGGTAAAATCTAAATTTTAGAATTTTCTTTATCCAAA